GAGCCGAGGACCGAGGCATTATATACGGACTGACGCATCAGTAACAATAATAATAACAAAATCAATAGCGATAGCAATAACAATAACAGCAGTAAAACAACAACAGCAACAACAAAAGTCTGAGAGTCATCTATACGATCTCACTGTCTACGGTGTCTTTTTCGTCTGCTCGTTCCTTGTTTCTTTGTGGGGTTTTTTGTTGTTGTATTTGTTGTTCGTGTTGTTGTTGTAGTTTTGTTTGTTGTTGTTTGTTTTGGTTTTTTAAAAGTTGGTCTTTTGTTCGTTTGTTCCTTTTGTTGTTTTTTTGGGTTTTTTCAGGGTGTGTGTATGGGGGGGGGGGGGGGGGGGGGGGGCCCAAAAAAACTCACCTCATCTTAAACTGAAATAGAGCAATGGGATTTTTTTTTTTGAAAGACGGATGAGGGAAATGAAATTAAAAGGGCAAAGGGGCGGGGTACTAAAAATAAAACATAATATAGATCTAATAGTATCGTGTCGAAACGGTTACGAGGCGGAAGTATTCCTTTCGCGTTCACAGAGGAAAGACCCGGGGTAGGCTAAGCAGCAACCAAAAAACAAACAAACAACCCAACACAACAACGACACGGCTTTCACAACAGATGACCTCCACATTGACAGGTCGTCAGGCTGGGCAGGGAAAATGGGGTCACGGGCATGTCTTCGTTTTCTTGGAATTTGAAGGGCATTTTGAAATGATTACATGTAACTATTACAGATTCGAGAAAATGCGATGGAAGATATGAACTGAACTCTCTCGCTGTTTACTCTACACAGATAAAACTTATTAGGTGGGGGCCTCTCGTGGCCAAGAGGTTAAGGTGTTCGCTTATCATTCCAAGGTCCCGGGTTCGAATTCGGGTAAAGACGGAAAAAATGCTATTCCTTAAAATGGTCTTCTTTCACCTCCTTTCCTGCTCTCTAGAAATGCTCTGTCGTCTGCTTTCATCTCCCCTCTCTGCCCCAACCTCCTCCCCTCATTTGCCCCCTCCTCTGGGCTCCTGAATCTTTCTGCAGTCTTTCTACCGCTACTCCTTTGCTCCTTCTTACTGCTGTCTTTCAGCCACACCCCTGATCTTCTGGTAGGAAAGATATACACATAGCCTTCTTGGACAAAGGCGAAAAATCTAGAAGTACTAGAAGGGCCCGAGTGCAAGTTGCACACGTTAAAGATCCCTTGGCGGTCTAAAATCGATTAGAGTAGGCTTCGGCCGTCACTCGGGCAAAATTCAAAATTCCCTACCAACTGAAAAAGTTTAATGAGTCTTGCGCGCTCATATGACCTTATGCAGTTGCGAGCGCCGTAAAACACTTTTTTTAAAAAGGGAAAGAGATAGATAAAATCTTTCAGTCCTATGTTAGAGAGACAGAGACAAAGAGAAATAGAATCTTTCAGTATTTATGTCAGAGAGAAAGAGAAATGTTTGAGAGAAAGAGGTAAATAAATTCTTTCAGTATTTACGTCAGTGAGTAAAAGATCTAGACAAACTCTTTCTCTCAAAATTATCCAATTTACCAATTTGTTAACCAACATGGGTCAGAAATTACTTCTTTCAAAGAAAACAGTGTGCAGGTGTCAAACTTTCTAGAAAATATTATGTTTTACACAATTGTCTTTTTAGACAAAATATAACAATCTCATTACAATATCTACTACTGAAGGAAATACTATGCAAAAAACTACAGTAGCAGCAATTACGGTTAAACAAATTTATATGTAAATAGGTAACGTCGATCATTGCTAATACAAGGCACCCATTGAAATTGAAATATCAGACATATCTGTTAGAAGTAGCCTATGTTTCTTTTAAAAAAAAAAGTAACCAACAGGTATAAGAATTCAATTCATACCGTCATCAATACAATCTATTCTGTCATTGTCAGGTATGTGAGAATAACATCATTTTGTAAGTCCACCCATTGACTAAAGCAATATAATATATATATACGTGCATCCATGTATGTAAAAGTTTGTGAGTCTGTGTGTGTGTGTATGTGAGTGTGTGTGTGTGTCTGTGTGTGTGTGTGTGTGTGTATAAGAAAGAGAGAGAGAGAGAGAGAGAGAGAGAGAGAGAGAGAGAGAGAGAGAGAGAGAGAGGGAGAGAGAGAAAGAACGAGAGAAGGAGAGAGAGAAAGTGAAAGGAAGAAAGAGAGAGAGTGTGTGTGAGTGTGTGTGTGTGTGTTTGTGTGTGAGTTTGTGTATGTGTGTGTGCGTGTGTGTGTGTGTGCGTGTGTGTGTGAGTGTGTCATTCGACAAGTGCGTGTGAATGCATGTATTCATCATGCAGCAGCAATTTTCTATTTGAAGAGATCAAGAAAATCTATCTTATCTTATACCACTGTTACAGCAGTAAAACTCTACTAACTTCACAAGAGAATGCAGTCTCTTCAAGTTAAGCAGAAATACCTAATTCAAAGTTATTTTCATCCTCAGACAGAAGCCTTTATACAACTGCACAAAATGAGGCTCAAAGGAGTTTGTGGTGCTTTTTCACGTTACCCATTTAAAGAGCAAAAACAAAAGTAATAAAACATGGACTTGACAAATTATAGACAGCTACACATGAAGATATTTTTAAAAAGCAAAAAGACGTTCTCATTAAATTAGGGATGGTTGACAGCTTCCAAGAGTCTCGTCTCTCTGTCGTCCCACAAAACAAAGCCATTCTCTCACCACCCAGAGCACATGGGAACTGGGAAAGAAAACTTGATAGGAGATCCAGACTATTGTACAAGTGTTCTCTGAGATTGAATAGGCAATGGTAAGCTACAGTAAAAAAAATAAGAAAAAGGTAAGGTGGAGAAGCAGAGGGAAGAAAGATGAAATAACCCCAAATTCCTGTCATTATAATACATATATATATATAATGAATGAGATCTGAAGAAATTTTTTATATATATCCTATTAACTCGTTTGTGACACAGAATCAGTTGATGCTTCACCGGGCACAGTTTTGGATCCCCAAGGACACTGAGTAGCACTAGATTTAGTGGTGACTTTACTATAATAAGACTCGGTTTTCAAATACTACTATCTTTATATAAACAATAGATTTCTTTGAACACAAAAAGTACTCTCGAAAGCAAATCTGCCAGTAATTTTACGAAATGCAAAGAAGCAGTAGGCAGAATACAACCGATGACCTTTTGACGTCAGCAATACATTTCTTAATTTGTGTAGAAAAATTTGGCCAAATCTTAGAAACCGATGTAAAGATCGAATTGCCTGTCCATTTCTATTGGCAGCCATTTAGAAACTTATAATTTGCCAGGTAAACGTGAAGATTGTGTGTGTTTTTTTGAAATTATTATTTTTGTCAGGAGGGCAAGCCCTTCCTGAAACCCCCCCCCCCCACTGTTACGGCTAGAGCGCATTAGTCCACATATATATTTAAACACGGCGGGTCCACCAAAGCTCAATACAAAAAGGCAGAAAAATATTACTGGCGAATGTGGCAGGGTTCACTAGCCTACATGATCAAATCACTTTTGTCCTTAGCAATCACTTCTGTCTCTAATGTAAACAAACGGGAAGGCATTTTCCAAAGAGCCACAAACGGTGACGCTATATTTGCTCAAAAGATAAATAAGGCTTGGTTTACTCCCAAATCGACATTAATCGCCTCGCGTGGTCAGCGGAGAGAGAGAAGGAGGCAAGTTTTGTAGCCTGGAGCGCTCAGTGGGTCACATGTGATTAAACATAGATAGAACGACGCAAACTATTTTTAGGTAAGGCGGCCATCTTGTTTGTCGTCAGACCAGGATACCCCTCCGATCGAGTGACTACATCTAAATATAGCTAACTGCATGGCACCAAAGATGGGATTGTCTATGAAGCTTAATTTAATCTACCTCTCGCTGTTGGAAGTTCTGATGGCCGAATGGACAGTGTGTCAGTATTTGAAAAGTCAAGCAATTATTTTATGAGCGTAGGATCGAATCCCGATCCCAGAAAGCTTTTTTCTTCTTTTTCCTCTTCTCCTCCTCCCGAATGACCAACAGTTTGTCCCATAAATTATAATTTGTTGCTTTGTAGTTTTCTTTTAATGTATATTAGTAGTGATGAAGCATGCAGCCTGAGGCAGGGGGTAGATCTTCTAATCCTCCGGCGTTTTAACTTAAGTTACTTAACGTTTATTGTCTTTGCGTTTACCGAGTAACAATTTCAAGCATCAGCGTTCTTAATCTTACTGTTCTGAGTCTCAACAATCTAGATCTAGTTCTAGAAAATCTAGATCTAGAATTCTAGAAAACAATCTTCGTCTTCCATCATGTCCAAGTACTAGATATCTAATTCCGAAATGTTATTAACATACTTACATACCGAAAACACGTAATTCCATACGGTACCTCCACGGCCTTCTTAAAATAGTCTGCGGATATGCCAGGAAGTAATGACATCACATTACTAAAATTAGCAGCTAATCAAGAATATAATACATATTTAAACGGCATGTCAGTGGCAGTGGGTCCTATGATGCCCGAAATGAAATAAAAAGGGTGGAAACAAAAAAATCCCAGAGAGATTTAGTCTGTCGTTTCTCACCCGGGGTGAGAATAGTGAGTATTCTCACCCTGGGTGAGAATAATATCCAGTTTATCCTCACCCCAGGAGAGAATAATCACTCGAGATCAGGACAAAAAAAAGTGACAATGTCTGCTGAGAAGGGTGTGAAAGTAAAATTACCAAGTTGTTAGGCCAGAGTGGCTTCATTACATTGAGACTTTCTCAGTCTAATAGTAGAAGTACTATTAGTCTTTTGATCTAGATTCTACATCTAGATCTAGATCTATTCTAGATCTAGATTTTCGTCTTATATGGTCAGTCGGCCTTCAGGCAGGGCTTGCTTGCAACTTTCGCTTCCAACCCCATCGGTTCCCTTGCTTGGCCAAGCCTCAACTAGGCCTAATTCAACCCTCCACTTTCACCAGGTCGTCAACTAGAAGATCATTCAAAAGTATTAATTTAAGCAATAACTCACTGTGTAGACTATAGATTTAGATCCACTTCAGAACCGGACACAGACTGGTGATAGAAAAACCTCATCTCACTTAGAATTCTTCGTCGTCTTGGGCTTCGATGCCATGGCCGAATTTTGTTTAGAATTTCCAACTAGGCCTACTATTGACTTCCAGGACAAAATTCTATAAATAACTTACACGGTCTAAATATAGTACATTTTTACCAATGCCCAGATCGACAATCGAGGAGTACACATATTTGCTTTGTGCTAAAACTTCTAAAAACTTTGCTCACTGAATGGGTTAAACAGCATTTAAAATAACTCATATTTCACTTAAACACCAAACCATGCACACATACATGTAAACAATTAGATCTAGAACTTGGGTATCAAAAAGAGCAGTTCAGAAATAGAATCTAGCCTAGGCCTAAAGAACCATGTGGGAAAAGTCACTTTGACACCGTCATTTATGGGAATTTCCCTTTTACGACACAGGGCGAACCTGAACTATTCATAAACTCCATCCACTATATTATTCTAGTTTCCAATAATCTGTTGATGGAGAAAAATGATTGGAATAAAATTTTTATTGTAGATCTAGACTCTGCTTACAAACATGACAAAAACAATATTCCTACTGCTATGCCAGCGGTTACGACTTGCTCTGTTTTATTTTTACCGAAAGCAGATCTGCTTCCACATTCAACAAGATGGCGTCGATTAGCAAAGAACGTTTGAGGGAGATGGAGGAGGAGATGGACCGGTAAGTTTGATTTTTCAAGTTGTGTATGTTTATTTTTGAAGGGCTTCCCAGGTGTAAATTCGGATCTACTGTTTAGATAACGTTAAAAAAATAATTGGGCCATTATCAATGTTTAGGCTACCTTCTTAGAACGTATGCTATACAGACTACTAGCCGGCAATTGTTTACTTTCTACTTTCTTTCTCGCGTACCCTCGTCCTGCAGGGGCAGGGTTTATGTCGCCCAATAAGACTATTTCGGGACCTCGCCATCATAGCTCTGGTCCCGCGTCAGTTTGGCCTCTGGCTCAGTTCACACGCACCGTGCATCATCTCCCGTTCAATTCGGGTCCCGCGTCAGACCCGCCTTCACGCAACTCAAGTGTGTGTGTGTGCGTCAGAGTCACTGTCAGTCTGCTTGAGTTTGTGTGCATTTGTGGCCTTCTTCTAGAACCGCCTGCGTTGGTTCGTAACCGATGCATACATCTCATTCAAAACATGCCAAGTTGGTAGCTCTAGACCTAGATATCTAGAATCTAGATCTATCATCTAGATCTAGATTCTAGATTTAGATGTTCGTCCAATGAAATTATAGAACAAGGCCATGTTGAGACACCCATGTCTCGCTATCCCCCCCCCCCCTCCTCCCCTGGTGATTTAGCTCCCACCCTGGTGTGGGCATGAGGCGAGGACTCCCCCCTTACCTCTCGCAGGCTGATAAAATCACGACCTAGTAGAGGCCCTTGGTCCAAGGCGGTGGCTTACCACGTTTGGTTGGTTGGGAACGAATGATAATAATGTAACGAAGTGGCTAGCCGTACTAAATAGGTTGCATCAAATATAGAAAGGGGCTAGCCGTACTTAATGACGGCTAGCAGTCATACTAATGATGGCTAGGCAAGCAGTACTTAGTTGTGTAAGTACATCAGAGGGGTCCGATATTCCAGTCTAACCTGGTCTTACCACCACCCCGGGACCTCGGTGCTTTCTTGTCCTATCTCCATTTTTAATAACAGTGAAAACCGTTCATAACAAAGAGTGAGCTTAAGAAGAAGTCACATTTTCAATGTTAAAAAAAATGGAGATAGGGCAAGAAGGCACTGATGCTATGACTTGACCTATCCAAGACAATTACCTGTACGAATGCCTACTTCCACCGTACGTTTATAATGACATTGTCCAAGACATCCACCTGTCTAGCACAATCACTTTTTCTTCCTGACTGGACTGTGAATGGTCATCTTGGACGGCTTCAGCTGTATTTGAAAATGTTGTAACAACTCATTTGTAGAATTGAAAAATAAAAGCAACTCAGTGATTGGTGGGTGCTCTGGTGTGGTTTGCTCCTTCTTTCCTATCAAACTTCTATCTTCCTTATCTCTCCTCCTTTTTTCTTGAATATGTTACTCTCTTGTAACACATCTATTCTTCGACCCTTGGTATGACCTTATTGTGTTGCAAGGGCAGTCCCCCCCCCCCTCCCCACCCCCGGCAGTGCTACTGACTGAAGTTGTCTTTAGGCCATTCCCAAAGGGGGGATATTAACATGTTCTTATGCACAGTAAAATTGTAAATGGGCTGAATTATCAATGTCTTGCTCATACTGTGCCGGAACAACATAGGGGGAACTGTCCTCATCCTTACTGTTTGTCATTTTCCTCTACTTCTTTTGTATGTTTGTCACTCTCTTGTGAACTGTTATATCCGGGATGCTTTTAATAGTCGAAGCAGACTTTCTGCTGTTGAGGCAAGAGAGGTGAGCAGAGTTAGCCTGATTCCCCGTTTCGACTTCTCTGTTGACATCCGTGCCTTGGCGTTCATATGACATTATGCAGTTGCAAGCGCGGCAAAATCTTACTAAAACTAAAATAACTAGAAAGTGCCATAAAACTGTTACGTAAACAAAAATTAGAGCAACCCACCAAGTGTGTGACTGTTTTCTCAGCTTTGAGGCGGAGATCCAAGCCCCCGGCGGCCCTCCCCGTCCCGGCGGAAGCTTCATCTTGGGTGCCAACACCTTTGACAAGGTCCAGGCACAGTTATCCTCCCTCAGGCAGGAGTCCTCACGGTTACAGCGGCAGAAACTGCGGCAAGAGAGCGATGAGGAGGAGGAGGAGGAGGATGAAGACTTCCGGGACCAGGACATGCGGCTTCCGCAAGGTACGATTTGGTGTGCACATTTGGTCGCTTTTAAGGATGAACGGGCTAACCCAGATTTCGGGGGTTGCCCTACCTATAGGAGAAGTTTGGTTTCATTGGCGTGTATATTTGTTTGGTTATAGAGAAAGCTCTCCTCTTGTCTTTTAAAGACACTAAACAAGGGTCCAAAAACTTTCCCTACGATTTTCTCAAATCGAGATAGCCCCCTTGTGTTTAAAAGCGACCATATTTTGGGGCATGTAGAGTAATTATAGAGTAATTGGTATCATCTTAAAGCTTGTTTATCTGTCTTGCTTTGCTGAAAAATATGTCCATCTATCTTGAATTCTAGTAGAGATATTTGCAAAGGACGGAGGTGGGGGTCACCTGGTTTCAGAAGTTAAATTATTGAGAAAATGGCCGCCAAAGACTACTTATTTCCTTAGCTTTAGAGTCCATAGATATTGAAAATTTAAATTTTTTGGTGCCCTTAATCAGTGTTTTTCAGTGAAATCCACACAGAAATGTGTTTTTTAGTGGGCATGAAAGGTGTTGAGCCAATCGATAAAAATTCACAAACCTGAGGCAAAATGCCAGTTTCTTTACTTTGATTATTTTGACGAGCACCTGATTTCACTACACTGCCTCCCATTCACTTTTACACTCATGGACGTTCCTATGCGTGCCTGTGTTCATTTCTTGGAATTAATTTCTTTTTCCTGTTTGTTTCCTCTTGTCACATTAGCTTGTGAACCCCCCGGGGCGGTGCTACTGACTGAAGTGTCTTTAGGCCATTCCCAAAGGGGGGTCTTTAACCTGTTCTTATGCACAGTAGAATTGTAAATGGGCTGATTCATCGATGTCATGCTCATAACTGTGCCTGAACTGCAACAGGGAACTGCTTCTTTTTCTTTCCTAATCCTTACTATTGTCATTTTTTCTCTACTTCTTTTATATGTTTGTCACTCTCTTGTGACCCGCTGTTTCTGGTGTGCCTTGATAGTCGAAGTAGACTTTGTGCTGTTGTAGCTAGAGAGGTGAGCAAAGTAAGTCTGATTCCCTGTAAGGACTTCTCTGTTGGCATCCACTCCTTGGCGCTCATATGACCTTATGCAGTTGTGAACGCCATAAAACCTTACTACAGTTAAACTAAAAACCAGGCCAGATCACTTGTTATTATAATAGCATGTACAGAGGGGGTCCGAAATTTTATTAATCTTCCCTAAGAGGGTTTGAGTCCATTTTTTTTGTAGGAAAATATGTTTCCCTGTTTCCTACAATTGCTCCTCACTCCTCTCAGACTTGCTTGCTAATGCATATTGAAAGATAGGATCTTTCCATTTTCAGTTTCAAGATTTGATTGATGAATAATGAGGAGAAAGCCCACAAGTTTATTGTACCTATATTCTTTACTGTAGTTAGTTATTGAGTATAGTTTACTGAATGCAGACAATGTGTGCGAAGGGTTGGGGGGGCTACTTGGTGAATGCCCTTGACCTGCCATGTGAGTGCAATCGTAAAAAAAAAAATTCTGTTCTGAAAAGTTGGCAGCTGTGCGTAAGTCTTCATTGTAGAATATGATACCTGACATGGGGAATTGTTGCCTATGTTACGGGTTTGTTGGTGGACTCAAAAGTTTTTCTTGGGAAAGTACATGTTTAGTGACACAGTAAAGACACTTTCTGTCTTAGTTGTCCGTCGTCCGTCCGGTACTTGTCTAGTTACCGAGCGAAAAGACGTTCTCCTTTAGATGCCTAAATATAGGACGAGTGCCTTTTCTTTACTTTTTAACCAGATTCCAAGAATTGACCTGTTGACCGGCTCATTTTACTTTTTTTTTTTTTAATGTCAGATCATTCCATTATTTTATTATAGTATTTCGAAAAGTTGGAACTGAATAAATGCTGCTGTGCCGACTACCAATCAAAATCATTGGAACTTTGATCTAACATGAGAATGGCCGATTTGTGTCCTGCGCCCTCATATGACCTAATGCAGTTGTGAGCGTCATAAAAACTTTTACAGTGGAAACCTGATATAACAGGGATGGTGGGAGTAGAGAAAATGCCCTGTTATATCCGATCCCTGTAAAATCAGAAATGCAAGGAAAGTAACCATTTGTGGACTAATCCAACTAATCATGGGTAGTTTCCTTTGCCACAGGTATCCACGAACAGGGGTTTTGGCACCAACTTTCTCCTTGCCTCCTTAAACCACATCAGAAGAGCTTGTTCCACAGCATCTGCATCGGGTAGTCTCATTTTCGTTTGATCCAGAGCAAACTTTCAATTGGAGTATGCTGCCACTATCTTCTCTCTATGCTTGATAATGGTGTGAATCGACCCCTGTGGAATGTCAAACTGACGACAAATCTCTGCCAGTGGAGTTTGCTTTTTGTCAACAGTCTGGATTATTTCGTATTTTATTGTCAATTGACAGACATTTTCTCTTGTGCTTGACATCGTTGGTGACAGTAGACACTTTACGCATGCGTGTTGCTAGGTTTCGGGCTAGATCAAGGTCTGCAGCACACTGCAGCCCTCTCTCGCTTCACACGCTGCATGTGCTTGCAGTGGCATGGCTTGCGTGGGCTTGCTCCATCACTGCATT